CGCAACAAATTTAAAACGCATTATCTTGCTTCAAAAGCGCATTGTTAGAATTATTAATAAAGAAACATTTAATGCACACACTGACCCGATTTTTGTTGAAGTTAAGATATTGAAATTCGAAAATATCTATTTGTATCAGCTAGGGAAATTTATGTATTTATATCGAAATAATTTACTACCCAAAAGTTTTGATAACCTCTTTCTTCGTACGAGTCAAGTTCATAACTATAATACACGTCAGTCTAACTTGTATCATATCCCCTTTTGCAGAACAAACATTAGAAAATTCTCAGTTAGTTACCAAGCCCCGAAATTTTTTAATACATTAAGTTGCGATATTCGCAATGCGTCAAGTGTTTCTTTATTTCAGTCTAAATTAAAAAAATACTTGTTTTCCTCGTAATTGCCTTAACATTCATTATTTTTCTTCTTTATTTGACAATTTAATATTTTTTATTTTATTGCTTTTATTATTCATCTGTAATGATATATTATTATTACTGTAATTACTGTATTTTGATATCAGTATATTGATATCAGTATAATTATTGTTTCCACCGTACCGTCTCCATATCTATCAGAGCAAGTTTGTAGTATAAAGGAGCCCAATTTTATAAGCCTTTTGGTTTCTTTTGGGCTTCCTTGCCTTCTCCTATTCACTTATTAAATTTGTAAATATCTAACTTGTCGCAGAATAAATTGATTTGATAACATAGGGTGCATCAGGGTGCAATGTGACTCAATGCACTATAACTACAGTAGACACAAAGACATATAGGGTAGTCAATCATTAAGTTGTTTAAGCACCAGTGCTCTCCCCTTGACAAGTAAAATGGTCTGCCGTTAGACAGAGTAAAATAATAAAGTAGGGCACATCAGGGCACAGTGCGACTCAATGGGTTAACTAGACACAAAGACATATAAGCTTGCCAACCATTAAGCGCCAGCCCTCTCTGTTGACAAGTTAACTTGTCTGCCGTTAGAGACTGACAGAGTAAAATAATAACATAGGGTGCATCAGGGTGCAATGTGACTCAATGCACTAACTAGACATAAAGACATATACTTGGGTAGTTAATCATTAAGCCGTTTAAGCACCATCGCTCTGCCCTTGACAAGTAAAATCGTCTGCCGTTAGACAGAGTAAAATAATAAAGTAGGGCGCATCGGGGCGCAGTGCGACTCAATAGGTTAACTAGACACATAGACATATAAGCTAGTTAACTATTAAGCGCCAGCACTCTCCGTTGACAAGTTAACTTGTTTGCTGGTAGATATAGACTGACAGAGTAAAATAATAACAAAGGGTGCAATGTGACTCAATGCACTGACTAGACACATATACATATAGGCTAGTTAACCAATTAAGGTGGCTCCCTACAGTTATAGTCCAGTTTAAAATATTTATATAGCTCAGACGTCATCCTCGCGACTCGCGCGTGGAATCGTCGTGGCCCGGTACAAATCTTGAAACAAGTAAACAAGCCGCGGGAAGTTGTTTTTGTATTTTTATCTACAAAGAAAACGCCAGTTTTTTATTATAATCCTAAACTTTTCAACATTCGAACAGTACGTATATTGTTAGCTAGTTTTTACCTACATTCAGTGTGTTTTTTTTATATATTTAATACGTTCAGTACTGTATTTCATAATGCTCACAATGTTCAACAAGAGTGTCACGGACTGAAATTATATTTTATACTGTCTTGAAGGCACTCCTGAATTGTCACTGAAACTTACGTAAACCCTGTCATTCAACTCAGTTCACATGTAGTTTTTTATCTGCTGAATCCAATAAAATTATAATGCAGACAGTTACGAGTTGTTTAATACGAAAAGTCAAACTCTACTTGAATGTTTTGAAAAGTTTTCACACCGATTTTCATAACAAAACTAAATTTAAGAAACGTTGGATTAAGTCAGTGCGTTATTGAGTTCTCAATGTTTCGTATTTTGAATACATATATCTTTTATTTTCATTTCAAATAAGTAAAAAATATCTGTGTGATACATATAAGCCAAAAACTCAAAGAGAAAATTGCTAAAAAAGCCAACTATAAACCGTACGCGTTTCGTGTTCCCCACGCAAATAGTGATCATGTCGAATCGATATTTTGTCACGTCAACAGCTTCAACTGGATTTAGGACTATTTTTCTCGCGTTTCCTTCGGTGAAAGTTTTTAAACTTTGCACGTTTGCTAAGCATGACGATTCGCCAAACATATCAAAATTTCAAGAAATTCTATAAGACAGATTTTTTGTAGTGGTTATTCATGAATATCTCAAAACCTGCCTTATAAACATCCCTTCAAATTTTAATATGTCATTCCCCTTTCAACCATAAATCTTAAAAAAAAAATTCAGAAAAATTGACCGAAGGAAAAAAGATATTGCGGTTTGATTGTAAAATTAGACAATAAAAGTGCAAAAGATGAAACGTCATGGTTGCCATGGCAACACTAACACTGTTCCTATTTGTTCATATATCGACAGCAGAAGACTTCTGAACTTTCCTGTAAATGATTATATTGCCCTGTCTTAAGTGTTTTCAATATAAATTTGGTTCAAAACGAAGGCTACCTAAAATACTTAAAATTTTAGAAAACTGTAGGGAGCCACCTTAAGCTGCGCCAGCACTTTCCCCTTGACAAGTAAAATCGTCTGGCGTTACACAAAGTAAAATAATAAAGTAAGGCCCATCAAGGCGCAATGCAACTCAATGAGTTCATAGATTGCTGAAACTACAAATCAAGTCTGTGCTCAAATGCAACACCTAGGCCATGTTGCCCGCTGTGCCTGTGGTTTACCTGAATTTGCAAGCAATTATAGGTTTGTTCCAATATTTAAAAGATTTTTCTAGCTTCAAAGTTAAAAAAACTTCACATTTATAAAGTAACAGAGTTTACATTGTCAGAATTGCATGCTATGTGCTGAAATATAACACTGAGCCAGTTCCCTCAAAGATTACTTACAAATCCCTCAAAACTTAGAATTTACCTATGGAACATGGCATATTGTCTAGTCAAAATACTTATATCTGTGTGACAACTGTCAATGTGGAAATATAATATACAACACATTATTGTTCGTAATTTTAAACATATTTCGCTTGTTTTAAACCCTCCGAATTCGAAAATATAGGGTTAATTAAAGGCTTTGTAGCTATAGACCGCTATAGGTATTATAGCTCTTGAGCGCTCAAGAATGAATACAATATACAAGTCAACAACACACGCCTGCCTTTTAAAACATATCAATATATTATCCCTTGTTTCGTACAAATAATACAATAGACAAATGCCAAACATACCTTTTCGTCTAATCTCCTCGATTTCTGTTTCTTGGCCGATAATTCCATCTTTCTTTTGACGGCAACCTCAGACGCTAAACGTTATATTATTAGCGTTGACATCGAAACGCTGTATTTGGTGGCCTTATTCAAATGCATTTTTACTGCGAGCAAAGACGAAATCGAATAAAGTGCCGTGCAGATTCTGCGTGGTAAATTAAAATTTCTTTATGGATAGGGTGGTAGAAGAGTGGCTTATCGTGTTTGGAAAATTGAAACTTATGTGTTCTAGTTTCGGGTGACAAAAATGTAATTTGCAACAAGAAGTCGTCAAGAAAACTGTTCTTAAAAATTCTATATATCATGACATGACTTCCTGCTATATCAATGTCATCAATAATAAGTGTTGAGTTACATTTCAAGCAAGAACCTGGATCATATTTCAATTGCAAAGAGAGAACTCCACACGCTACGAACTGCTTGCGAAATTGGGCACGCTTCATCGTAGATGCTACCAGGCCCTGAAGCTACTTATCTTCCACACCGACAGTTCGATCAAACGAGCGATCTGGTTAATAAATTCAAAACAAACGGGGTTTCAAAACAAATACAATTATTTAGTTCTGAGCAAGTATGGTGATTGAAAAGCACTTAAACATTGCCTATGTTGCACGAAGTGAAGAAAGCAGCTGGAAAACGTGACATTGACAGGGTCAAATGAGTCAAATAGTATTTGTTTTCGAAGACCGGATTGAATTTGAAGTCGCAGCTGAATTGAGATTTGCCGAGTTGCTAGCTTTTGTGAGTGATTTTGGCACATTTATCGAAGGTATTTATTGATGCTTACAGATTTAATTTGCCTGAATTCATTCAATTTGTATAAATTCAGTGGAATTTTCAAATATTTTCAACATTTTAAAAACTAATGACGTAATTCCGAGAGTCCGTCCTTTAATAGATCATGGCTCTCGACCAATGAAAGCGCATGAATTCTTAAGGTTAGTATATAAAGTATATTATATCATGTTTTACGTGCAGCAATCTTCAGCAGGCACATTATAAATCTTATAAAGATCTTTATTGGTATTGCCATTGTCCTTTTATAAGCTGAACAATCCAGCTTCTTTCGACCTGTGTCATGCTGCTGCATGTGTTAAATATTCACAAAATCTGTATCAACTTCAATCTTTATCTTATATATTTTAGAAGTTTCATCCAACTATGCTTGATTCAAACGGCCGATATATCAATAGAAACTTAAAAATGCTTATAAGAATATGAGAGAGCACACGACTCAGAAAATTTCAAAGCATACGAGCAAACGTTTTTTATTGCTTGACTTCCTGTCTTGTCCGTTGTTATGTAAATCTGTTTAGCATGTTTTTATAATTTAATTATAAGCAAACAAATGCCAAATTTAGCAAGTATTTGAACTTTATATGATTCTCAAAGTTGATTGTACAGAACACTCTCGCTCCTTGCAAACGATGTGTAAAGTGCGTAAGTGGAAGCATGCAAATTGATACTTTGCCTACTCCCACTTGGGCGATCAAATTTCCGTGTGACACGTGAGCTGCCCCAGCCAGGGTCTTTCCTCCACAAGAGGGAAGAGCCCGGGAGCGAGGTTGTCGTTCGGTTAGATCGATCGTAATAGATGCGGTGGTGGTGTGGTTCTATGTTTAAAAAACAATATTCCATATGTTGAAAGACAGGATTCAATCTCTGATTACCTTGATATAGTATGTGGTGAAGTTAATAGAAAGCAAATAGTAAACCCTTCTTGATAGGTACATGGTATCGACAACCTAGTTCTGATATTGACATATTTAATAACTTTTAACTATTTCTTTTTATATGTGGTATAGAATATAAGGATATAATTTTGCTTGGGGACTTAAACTGTGATTTTAGTAAGATGCGTCAGGACTTATGCATTCTAGAGACCACATCTTCGCTTATTGACGTTACTCTGACAAATACTCCTGAAAATATTTCGACATCAGGTGTCTTACACGTTGGCATCTCTGATCATAGTTCGGTATGTACTGTACACAAACTTGAATTATCTAAATTTAGACCTACTGTAAATGACGTCCGGGACTTTAAATTAAACATTTTTTCAGATTCTGAATTTCGAATTCGTTCAGATCTATGTCAGGTACATTGGGATACGATTCTGATATATGATGATCCTAATTCATGTTGGATTATTTGGAAATCTATTTTTCACGAAATCCTAAACAAGCATGCACCTCTTCGACATAGAAGAACTAAAGCTAATCCAGTTCCTTGGTTTACGCCTACTATCAAGCAGTTAATGAGGGAAAGGGATTTTCATAAAAAGGTAATACAATTTAACTCTACAATACAATGGGAAAAGTATCAGTTTATTCGGAATAAAA